TTCTTCCCTATGCAAAATGAACCAACAGGAAATGGATGTGGGGCGGGGGGAGGGGAGGACTTCCCTGTTATGATTGCAAAGAAGGGGGTTGAACAGCAAGAGACAAGGCCTTGGGAATACTTTCTCTCCTCCTCCTTCCTCATTCACTCCTCCCTTCTTTCTTTCCCTAAAGCTGCAGCATTTGGAAGCATCTGGGCTGAGCTGAGTTTGGACATATGCGTTTAACCAGGGGAGGGAGCTGCTGGGTACAGAATAGTCTTTATGTCTGCTTATAACTGCTTCTCACAATTGCAGAACGATACAGTTTTTGTTTTTTTGTTTTAAATAGAAAATGTATGTCATGATTCATCCTGGTCGAAGCATTGGCTGAATTTGCACAACCTACAAGACCCGACTAAAATCTGATTGGGGATTTTGTGGCTGAGGATAGTGTAGGTGGCAACCAGGGGACCTTGGTCCGAAACCTCCCCCCCCCCTTGCAATTAATCAGGACAGGCACTCTGCACATGTTTAGTGACCGTTCCTCTTCCAGTGGTCTGGTAGCAAAATCAGGATAAGCTCGCCTCACCTCAATGGAGTTGGCAATGTTCAGGCACTCCTCCATTCCCGGGATTTCCAACCGCAGAATTTTCAGGTCTTTGCATTTGAGAGTGATGGTGCCAGACGGGTTGGCCAACCTGTGTGTGAACAGGGAGAAAACGCGCCTTGTGAGCTGCCTTGCAGGAGGCCTCAGGCAACTTCCGGCAGTTTGCAAGCAGAAAGAACTTCAGGTTTGTGGCAAGGAAGGAGGGGCACCAACGATGGAGACCTTAACTTCACAGCCTCCCCAGCCATAATCTGAAAGTTGGGCTTGCAGATGAGCAGGAAGTGAGCAACCCATTAACCCAGGAAGAGAGAAGCAGAGGACAGCAAAGCTGTGATGGCCTCCCACAGTATCAAGTGCATCATACAACTGAGGCTGGTTACCTTACTCACATCACTGCCAGCTCACTTGCCTTCCCTTATTCTCTCTTATCATCACCCTACAGGTAGTCTTAGACTTACAACCACGATTGGCACTGGAAGTACTGTTGCTAAGCAAGATGGTTATTAAGTGAGTCAGGCCCAATTTTACAACTTTTTTTGCCATGGTCATTAAGCAAAGCACTGCAGTTATTAAGGGAATCTGGCTTTTCACTACTGCTTGTCAGAAACCAGCTGGGAACGTTGCACATGAACCCTGCCAGGATGCTGCAGCTGTTGTAAATGCACACCAGTTGTCAAACTCCTAAATCTGGATCATGGACCACGGGGATGTTGGGATGGTTGTAAGAGTGATGACTGCTCTAAGTCACTTTTTTCAGTGTCTGTTAGGGCTCCGGCAGTTAACCCCCATTTAAATCATGAGTCTTGAGCCAAACTTCCAAAACTTCCAAATGATTTATTAGGAGTAAACATGCCGGCACTGCCTGGGTGTAGCCGACTCTGAGACACATTATTCATTGCCACCCTTGACCCTGGTTTTCCTTCCTACCTCCTGGGTGTATTGTAATTCATATTCTCCAATGGGACACATCCATAGCCCAGAGTCATCCATCATACTCTCCAGTTAGAATTTTGCGTGGCAGAAACTTCAAGTCACCTAGAAACTATCTTTGAAAACATTTATGGAATGCAAGCCGCCCACTGCTCCCCTCTCCCTTTCTGTTGGCAGCTCTAAAAGGACCATAGAAATATTTTATGGGTTGACAGTGTCATTGTAACTTTAAACGGTCTTTAAATGAATGGTTGTAAGTCAAGGACTACCTGTATTGCTGTGCATGCTTTTTCCATCCAGATAAAATAAATCTGGAATAACCACCATGTGTGGTTCTTGCAAACTACTATATAGCAGGGGGGATTCAAAAATCCCAGCAACCGGTTCACTGCCCGGTTGCTGGGTAGGCAGGGCCATGGTGGGCGAGGCCTATCAGAACTTCCTGTTTCCGGCTTCCAGTGGGCCTCCAGAACCGGGAGAGGCTGTTTTCACCCTCCCAAGGGTCCAGGCCTCTGGGAGGGTGAAAACAACCCTCCCTGGCCTCTGGAGGCCCACCAGAAGCCAGAAATAGGCCCGTTTACAGACTTCCTGGCCTGTCCCCCCCCCTCCCCCAGGGCTTCTGCGTGGACCCTGCACTTACCTCCATCAAAAATGGGTCGTGGGAGACTCCTGGGAGGGGAGGGGTGGGAGGGGCAGGGCCAGCCGGTTGGTTGAAATACCGGTTCGGTGAACCAGCTGTAACTTTAACATCCAGTTCGCCTGAACCGGTCCGAACCGGTAGAATGCCATCTCTGCTGTACAGGCCTTAATACCAGGCGAGAGTGGCTTTGAGAACTGTCCAGAATTTTTGGCAACCATCTATGGACAATGTTTGGTGACCTTCTGATCTTCCAAGGGGCGGCTTCCCCCTCTGGTGACATCTCTGGAAGGATGAGGAGATATTTATTTTCCATATTTTCCAAGCTTTTTAGGTCAGAGAAAGTGGGAGGCTATGGGAAGCCTAATGGTCTTGACCCCACCTTAAACCTTCCTCAAACCATCCTAAATCTTGCTACTGTTTGAAATCTACAGATAGCCCTCAATTTAGCGACTGTTCCAAGTTACGGTACTGACAAATTACAATTGTTGCAGCAGGCCCATGGTCATGCGATCAAACTTTGGTTGCTTGGCAGTCAGCCTGTATTTGTAACACAACACCCCACTGCTTATGGAAAGGAGGTGCAAGGCCAAAAGGGTAAGCATTCTGTGCATGCTTAAAAATATGCTCTCAGTTCCTATAATAGCAAAATCTGGGCTATATCTGGCAAGAAGTTGGATTTCTGATTATGGTGCCTGTTGCCAGTTCTCTCTACCCACTCCATCAAATTGTCCTGGCCTCGCTATCCAGCAGGTAGAAAAAAGGACATCAGGGTGGCTAAAAGATCATTCTGGGCAACACTTTCATTCCTGAAGCAAGACCTGGAAAGGTGGGTTTCCCCCTCCCTGGTTGTGCAAGTCAGCTGTGGAAGCCAAAAGTAGATGACGCGCCAGCCTGTCACCTCACTTGCTCGCATGCCTTGCGGTGTGAAAATGTTTAAGGCAAACCTGTTCTCTGGCGGGGAGCCGTTAGTCCAGGAGCTTTGATACCAGCTTAAATTCTGCATGCTGAGAGTCACAGGAAGGAAAGGAGAAAGGTTAACATTGTGCCTGAAATGCAGAGGTTAATTGGCACTGAGGCGGAGAGCACCTGCTGCCAACTTCAGTGCCCTCCCTCTTCCAGCTGGCTCTTCACTCTGCCACTCTGGAGGACGTGGGCCAGCCACAATTTTGCCTAAGCAATGCTCTCTTGGGGGCCTGCAATCCCAAGAAGGGGTAAGATTCCTGGTTTCTTTTGGTCTCTTCTGCAGGCCCCCCCCTCCCCAGTGAACATTCTGAGCAAGTGATGCGTCTTCCCAAGTCTTGCAGGAAAATGTCACCTCTTAAGCCCACATTTGGCTGCCTTTTGAAGAGCTCAGGAGCAAAAGGGTGCAAGATGGAGCTTCAGCAGAGAACAAAGCTACTCCATTAGCAGTTAGAGTAGGAAAAGCACATCGTTTCACCCCACCACCACCTGATCCCCAGCCCAAGCCAGCAAAGGCAGGATATTTGGCCTCCTTTGCCTGATCTTTGCATCTGATCTCCCCATCTTTGAGTGTGAAGGAACCTGAAAGAAGCCTTGAGAGTGTATGGTAATGTTTGGTCTGAGTAGTCCACCCAAGTAGTTTAGATTGTAAATGAGAGAGTTTAAAATTGCAATGGCATATTAGTTAGGTTTCTTCTGCAAAGCAGCAATCCAGGATTCTTTTAATTGTCCAAGATGAACCAATGAAATCTGATAGTGCAGTTTAAGCTCTTTTAGACCAGTGGCCCCCAACCTTTTTTGTGCCACGGCCCGGTACCGGCATCACAAAATGATCCACGGCCCGGTACCGGCATCAGCACGCATGACAAGGCAAGGCGAGCCGAGCGACTGGCCAGCCAGCCGTCCCCCGCTTCTCCCCGCCACCTTCAACTCCTCCTTTGTATCTTTGTCGATGGGCTTCGCTTCGGGACGGCTTCGGGACGGTCGCTCAGCTCGCCTTGCCTTGGGTGCTGAAAGAATCCTCACGCCTTAGTTTCGTTCGAAGCCCCCCCCTCGATGAAACTAAGGCGCGAGGATTCCTTCAGGACCAAAACGCCGCTTTCCAACCGGAAAAGCTCACCCGGAAGCACTTTCTCGTCAAACAAGATGGCAGCACCCAGCAAACCGGCGGCCCGGTAGGAAATGTTCCACGACCCGGTACCGGTCCGCGGCCCGGTGGTTGGGGACCCCTGTTTTAGACTACATTTGCCTAGATTAGACCAGTAGTTCTCAACCTTGGCAACTTTAACGTGTATGGACTTCAACTCCAGAATTCTGCAGTGAATTCATGCTACTGAGGAATTCTGGGAGGTGAAGTCCACAAACTGGGGGGGTGGAGATGAACCATGATGAGAAGTCCAGCAATGCAAGGCAAAGCGATTCACCTTTTTTCAATGGCATCCACATTGCGAATAAGAAGCCACAGCTCAGTTCTTCTCTGTTCCCCATTCCCCTCGGCCTGGGATGAAAACAGTAAGTGATGGCTGGTGATGGCCAGTGTCCCTCGGATGGTCTGGAGTCCTGGGCATGAGAGAACCACATCATCCACCTTGGTGGTCTTGATCAGCTCAGCAAACTCCATGGTGGGAGGTGGCAGAGCGTCCTGGAAGTGTGACGGTAAAGGAGGAAGCTATTTCAGGAGAACCTGGAAGATTAGGAAGAAAGCTGACAAAGGCAATTTCAGAAAGGACAGGGAAAGGGCTTTTTGGTCCTTCAAGATAGGGTTGTGTCGGTTTAGGACCACAATTGGGACAGGAACTTTGGTTGCTAAGTAAGGTGGTAAGTGAATCATGCCTGATTTTACAATCTTTTTTTTTTTTTTTTGCTATGGTCATTAAGTAAATCATCCCAATTGTTAAACAAATCACACAGGTATTTAAAAAATGAATGATTGTAGGTTCAGGACTACCAAGATATTATGTCTGTAAAGGAAGGAATAATATAGTCAGAGAGATGTACCTGGTAAAGGGATGCCTATATTTTCCAGGTCAGGAATGAGTAGAGGGTAATGCTTAAAGCTAAGGCTTGTGAGATGGATTGGGCTGAGAGACAGTGAGTCCCGCCTAAAGCAGAACTAGAACTCACACACTAGAACTGGTGACCGGCCCCAAATCACACAGGTAGCTTTCATGCCTAAAGTGGGAATAGAACTCATAATCTCCTGGAAGTTGCCTCAAAGCCCCCACCGGTTGGCTTTCATGCCTAAAATGGGAATAGAAATTGCAATCTTCTGGCTTCTAGGCCAGCACAATGATTAGAATAAACTGGCTTACTTGCATTGCATTGCATTACCCTTTCTCTGCCCAGAATTCTCCATTCTGCAAGCCCACAAACCCAGGGGGCCTTCCCTGTCTCCATCCCCCCTCCAGTCCTCCTCAAGCAGCAGAGACAGCAAGAGATGTCTTAACTCTCTCTGGTTTCTGGGTAGCATCCGTGGCAGTTGCCAACTGACCAGGACAGAGACAGTTAAGCCTGCTCTTGTGCCTTTTAACGAGCACTTTAATTGATAACTGATAGGAGACTAGCAAGGAAGGGACAAGCCTCGCCACAAACAGCCTAGCTCTCTGTGGTTAAAAGTTGCTGTTATAAGACCGGGTTGAAAAATTGGCAACTCAAATGAAGCATTCTGTTAATTTTGGGGGTGGACCTCAAGTGTCTGCCAGATTTGCAAAACTGAGCTGCATTCTGTTTATAATTACCCCACTTCTGTCCAGGCAGACCAGCAACAGCTGCTAACAAGCCATCTGGTGCAACTATGCTTTACTGAATGTGGTCGCACAGTTTAGAGCAGCCCCAGATCTTTGGTTGGTTGGCAGGAGCTTTTCTGTAAAAGGATCCTCCTTCCCAGCAGAGAAGTATTCCTCTGGACCGAGTTAGTGTTGGAAGAAAGCCAAAGAGCTGGGAGTGCCCACTTCCCTTACCTGAGAGCTGAATTGGGAATTGGATCTCCTCTGGGACCTGCAAAGAGGTCTTGGAAACAGACTGCAGGGGACAGAATTGGTCCCTCCGTTCATGCCCCAGCCAGCCAGCCAGCCAGCCAGCCAGCCAGCCAATCGATATTGGCAAAAGACAGTTGTGGAGAAACCTTGCAACAGCTATTTGTTATGTTGCGGGGAGCTCAAGCTGGATCTTATATTGTGAAAGGGTAGAACAGGAACTGCACAGCACTTAGAGAGGGAGAGGCTGAGCAGGGAGGGAGAAAAAGAGAGCGAGAAAAGGGAAAAGAGGATGTGTCGCTTAAGGTAGCCCGGCTGTAATTTGTTTTGCTTTCAGTTGATTTTTTTCCACTTTTAAAGAACTAGAAGATATGTGTGAAGATAGCAGATAAAGCACTGCTGTGGTAAACAAGGGTCATGCATTGGGTGGCCTTGTTTGCTAAGACAGATGATGAGAAAAAGAGACATGAAATGACTGGAACGTTGGAGGAATTGAAACTCCGGGGGTGGGGATTTATTGTGTGATAACAAGATGGATGTGCATATATATTTGTACCCGGTTCACTCACTGTTTTAAATGGAAGATGGATTTGTTGTAAAAATAAAAGAAAAATTTATGCAAAAAAAAAGATGAATGTGCAGAATAGTGCTTCATGAACAAGTTCCTCTTGACTCTCAGATATTTCCATGGAGAACTACTGGGCTGCACTCTACTGTAAAAGTAAATTAAAAAGAAAAAAAATTATCTGCCAATACAATTGAATGATTTGTTCTTCTTATCATCCATGGCAGTGTTTCTCAACCATGGTAATGTTAGAATGTGTAGACTTCAATTTCCACCAGAATCCCCAGCCTTGGCAATGTTAAGTTGTGTGGAGTTCAACTTCCAGAATTCCTCAGACAGCCATGCTGGTTGGGGAATTCTGGGAGTTGAAGTCCACACATCTTAACGTTGAGATGCTCAGAAACATTGGTCCAAGGCATTCCCAATTACTTTTTCTGACAAAGGCACAATATATACCTTTGGAGTCAATGGGATGTCTCTGCATTTTAAAAGTCTGTCTACAACTGTTGTAATCTCATAGCTGCAGTCACATTCCCAGTGAACTGAGGCTAAGATAATCTTTTATTACTTCAACTTCTCACTACTTGCATAAAGTTAGTATCACTTGCTGACATGATCTTAGTTGTTTTTAAAGCTTGAGGAACAGGTCAACAAGAGATTGTCATCTTCAGACCACCAAGTAGTATCATCAGCATAACTGAGTTTATTGATGCTTTCCTCAACCATTTTAGTTGCCTATTTCTTCTAATCCAGCATTTCTCATGATATATTCTGCATGTTTGTTAAATAAATAAGGTAACAGTAACTGACACTGCTCATCCCCATCTTTGAACTCATTTTGTTGTTCCTATTCCATTCTAATTATGGCTTCTTATTCTTTATATAGATTTTTCAATAACCCTGGCACACCCATGCTTTTGAGAGCTACTCACATTTGGTTGTGGTCTACACAGCCAAAAGTCCTTGTAAAATTGATAAAGCCCAAAATAATATCTTCTGGAACTCCTTTACCGCTTCTATTATATATTACTCGTGTTTCTCACCCCAGCAACTTTAATATGTGTGGAGTTGAATTCCAGATATATGAAAGTTGCTGAGGTTGAGAAACACTGCATGAGACATTAGCAACACGACCTTTGAAAGCTGCTGTCTGCTTGTGAATCCGTTTGTACTTTAGGCAATACGCCATGTATTTAGGCAATACTTCCATGTATTGCTAAAATGTAGATTACAAAATCTTCAGCTTTAAAAGTTGTATATTTTATTCTGCAATGATCAATTGTACAGTAATAGGAATGGTATTTCTTAGGGAATTAGGAAAAAACAGAACTATTGTGTTTTACCAACTGATGCCTCCCAAGCATTTTTGAGTTTAATTCAGTAAGTCTGTGAAATATAAGGATCTGCTGTGTTTTCATTGCCAAATACTTATGCTTAAATCAATTGACAATAAAGAGTGATTTTGCAATAAACAGTGGCTTTGCAGATGCTTGAACAGTGTATAAATTAAATAAAGCAAACAAATGAATAGTAATAAGGCAGGGGTCTTCAAACTTGGCAAGTTTAAGACTTGTGGACTTCAATTCCCAGAATTCCTCAGCTAACATGACTGGAGGAGAAATTCTGGGACTTGAAGTCCGCAAGTCTTTAACTTGCCAAGTCTGAAGATCCCTGCTCTAACTCATACTTGTAACAACCTGACTATGTATTCTCCAGGTGATCAACTGGCCTATAATTTCTTTTGCAATTCTCTCCCATCACAGATCCCCCTTTTTAATTAGCAAGAGAGAGAGAGTAAAATTCTTCAGTCCAGAGAAGATTCTTATGCAGATTTTCAACATAGTCAAGCCCTTCAGCAGTAAGGGCGGGAAATCACAACAGCAACAACAAACAGTTGGAGAAATGCAAATACCAGTATTGTTTTTTTTAAATAATAATAATAATAATGGAGACAGTACCTGCTGAAAAGGGCTCGCTCATGTACTGGCAGCCTCCTTCACCTTGTTCCTTAACTCTGATTTTTCTAGTGGCCCATATTAATGGAACATTTGTCCAACACAGCAGTTGAAAATAAAATATAAAATCCTGGTCTAGCAGGGGAATAGAAAACAGGGATAGAAAATCTATGTTCTCAGTCATATTTTTACTTTTTGCAAGAAAGTGTGGTTTCTGAAGTTGAGGTTAGTAGGTGTTTATATTCAGTGGCTGCTTATATCTAAGTGGACTTCAACGCAGAATGTATGGGATACAATGAAGGCATATGCCAGAGGCTTGATAATAGACTATACAAGGAAAAGAAAGTTTTACTGTAGATTCTTTTTAATTCCAGGCAGTCACCTCCCTCTTCCAGATCCTGCCCTTATTCTTTTTCTCTCCCTTCCTGCTTATGAAAAAAAAATTTAGTGTCCAGAAATCTTTATTATCCCTTTGGCATTTTATTTTATTTTCAGCTTAATTGCCTATTGATGTCAAAGTGGATTTTTCCGATTTCTTATTTAAGTCTCTTAGTTGTCAGTATAGGGAAAGGGAGAGAAGGGAAAAAAAGCCAAATCTTTCCCTTTTCCCTTTCCTTCGCTGCTTCCGACTCTTCTTTGGGAGCGATGTTATTTTTTTGTAAGTTTAAGTTCCAGGGTACCTTAGTTGTTGCTTTTACAATTTAACCCGGTCAGCCAAAACTTTCACTTCTTATCTTCCTCCTGCACATTCTTTTCCGCCTTCGGGAAAGGGAGTAATGGCCAGCTGAGGAGGAGAGATGCGGCTCTCCTCAACCCTGCTGGCAGTCTCCCCCCTCTTCACCACCTCTACGGGTGGCTTAGCCCCAAAACCAGCTGGCTCGGGGCGCTCCAGCGGCGAGCCCAGACAGAAACAGCGCACGATCGTGGATTTCTGTCTGTCGCCGAAGAGACTTCAAACCGGAAGCCTACCAAGCTACAAATTTAATGTGGGTTAAGGAATGGATAACATTAAGAAATGCTAGATTGTTGACACTAGAAGGACATGATTTGTTGTTGAGGTGGCATGCTTTTTTATGGTATAAAGGAACTAAAACACAGGGGTACTTTAGAAGACATTATATACGGGAGTCTCTGTGGTTAAACTGGGAGAAGACTAAAAGGCAATGTTATTTGAAAATTCCAGTCTGGCTGTCGACTATTGAAGTTTTTTCTTATCCTATAATATACAAAAAGGAACAAACAGTTAGATATGGTGAAATATCGAATGAAAAGGGTGAACTTAAATCTATGCAAAAATTAGAAGAACAAGGTATAAAGATGAATTGGTTTTCATATGCGCAAATACATTCAAGGTATGATAAAGATGCTAAAACAGAAGGTTTCTATGATAAATTGATTGATTTAGATAAGATTTTGACAGGTACTGATGAAAAGGTGTTTAAAAAATTGTATGGAGAGACTTCCAGTTTGAAGGGCTTCGGCAACAGACAGGAATCCGCGATCATGCACAGTTTCTGCCTGGGCTTGCCGCTGGAGCGCCCCGAGCCGGCTGGTTTCAGGGCTAAGCCACCCCGTAGAGGTGGTAAAGAGGGGGGAGACCACCAGCAGGGTTGAGGAGAGCTGCATCTCTCCTCCTCAGCTGGCCATTACTCCCTTTCCTGAAGGCGGTAGGAGCGGTGGTTAGAAATGGCCGCCTCAAAGAAGAACTCAACCGGAAAAGAATGTGCAGGAGGAAGATAAGAAGTGAAAGTTTTGGCTGACCGGGTTAATTTGAAAAAGCAACAACTAAGGTACCCTGGAATTTAAATTTTACAAAAAATAACATCGCTCCCAAAGAAGAGTCAGAAGCAGTGAAAGAAAGTGAAAAGGGAAAGGTTTGGTTTTATTTTCTTCTCTCTCCTTCCTTATATTGACAACTAAGAGGCCTAAATAAGAAATTGGAAAAATCCGCTTTGGCATCAATAGGCAATTAAGCTGAAAATATAACTAAATGCCAAAGGGACAATAAAGATTTCTGGATATTAAAAACTTTTTCTTCTATAAGCAGGAAGGGAGAGAAAAAGAATAAGGGCAGGATCTGGAAGAGGGAGGAGCTTGCCTGGACTTTAAAAGAATCTAAAGTGAAACTTCAATAAGACTTCTAAAAGATACATTTTAACTGAAACTTTGCAACTAAATAGTAACCCCAGGAAGAGAAAGTGAAAAAAAAAGAAAGAGCAAAAAGAAACAGCTTGCGTGTATTTGGATTACTTGGTGACTTTTGGATTTTTGGTTATTATATTTGAATGACTAAAATCAATCGGGTGGTTGTTTAAAAATTTATACAATGGCATCACTTCTGGATGAATTGAAAATGGAACTTAAAAAGTACAAAGAAGATGCACAAGAAGGGAAGGGTTCTTTTGGCTTCGTTTTTCAATTCTTAGAAATGGAGATTTGGAACTATGAGAAACAACAAGAAAAGACTGCAAAACAAGAAGACTGGGACAAAGAAGAAGCCATCTTTAATGAACAAGTAACTCTATGTGGGGAAGAAAAAGGAAAGTGGGGAAAGAGAATGGAGAATTTAAGACTTAAAAAAACAACCAAAGAAAAGAAAAATAATTCGAAAAATAAGTATAATACTGGAAAGCAACAGAAAAGGGGAATACAGAAGAGGGAAATAGAGGTAGAGAGACAAAGGGGTAAAAAGGGGAGAGAGAAGAAGAGAGGGAAGAAGGA